TCCTCCCCCCCCCCCGCCTCTCCTCCCCAACCGCCCGTTATTTCGGCCCAGCCCGCCCCCTTGGTGCCCCGGTGCCACCGGGGGGGAGAGGGTCTATGAGCCTGCGCGTGTCCCCGGCGGCGCAAACCCGATCCCTCCCCGGCGCCCGCCCGCCCGCGCGCACTCCCCGTTCCCTGGGGCCCCGCAGAAAATGGCGCCCCGCGGGCGGCGGGCGGCTGAGATCTCGCGAGAGCTCCCCGCGCAGGTCTCGCGAGAGGCGGGAGCGGAAGGGGCGGGGCGGGGCGGCCGGGCCCGCTGCCGGCCGGCGAGGTGGGCGGTGCGGCCTGTCCCTCCCCGCGGGGCGGCCACGGCAGCGCGGGCACAGCCCGGCCCCCCCTCGCCCTGCTCCTCCGGTGGCAGCCCGCTCTCTTCTCCTCTCCTCTCCCGAAGGACTCGCCGCCGTCGGGGATGCTCCCGGCCCCCCGGGGCAGCCAGGCGCCCTGAGCAGCCTTCCCCCCACCCCCCACTTCTCCCCTCTCAGGCGCGGGCGGCGGGGTGAGCGGGTGAAGCCTCCTCCATGGTGGGCTTCGGGGCCAACCGGAGGGGCGGCCGTCTGCCTTCCCTCGTCTTCGTGGCGCTGCTGGTGGTGATCGCCATCCTCGCCTTCAACTGCTGGAACGCCTCGTCCCGCCAGGCCCTGCTGCAGGAGGAGCTGGCCGAGCTGCAGAGCCAGGCCAAGCGCACCGAGGTGGCCCGGGGCCGCCTGGAGAAGAGGAACTCGGACCTGATGGGCAAGGTGGACTCCCACAAGAAGCAGCTGGAGCAGAAGGAGGCCGACTACAGCCAGCTGAGCAGCCAGCTGCAGGCCCGGGACGGCCAGGTGAAGAAGTGCGAGGACAGCAAGGTAAAGTGGCGGGGGGACTGGGGGGTCCTGCGGGGTGGCTCTGCCCGGGGGGCAGCCGTGGCCGCCGCCCGGCGATGGCCGGTGGCCCCGCAGCGTCTGCAGCCCGCCCTGCTGCGGGAACGAGCCCCGGAGGCACCGGTGTCTGGAGCCGCTGCAGCAGGGCCGGGCACCCCCGGCAAGGGCAGTGTGTCTGCTGACAGGGAGTCGCTGAGAGCTCACTCTTTTCCAGACGGCTATTTTTAATTTATTTTTTTTTCTTTTTGAGCTTTTTTCCTCTGCTGAGCTTGTTTGATCTTTTGTGATCAGGCAAAAAGCTGTGCACAGCCTTAACACCACAGTTTGCTCGGCCTGAAGGGAATGGAGCAAGTGCAAGGCTGGGGTGCAGCACCCGGGGCTCTCGGTGCCCTGCCCGGCTCGGGCTGGGGCTTACGTGGCCGGAATATTCCTGAAGAAACACCAAAACAAATAGTTCTTATTGCAGACATAAGGTGTCATTTTCATCAGCTGGGAGGAGGCAAGCTAATAGAAAATTCAGCTTCCCCGTTGATGTGGAGGTGGCCCGGGGATTGCTTTTGTTGTGGGAGGGAAAATGAGCCAATGCATCAACTTTCACTGTTCCTCTTTCATCAGCCTCGTCGCGGGCAGCTCCTCACAAAGGAGTTCAGCAGACAAGTTCTTTTACTCGGTGCTGTGTGGTGGCGTGTGCTCTTATTTGCATGCAGATCATAATTCTGCTAATTGAACGCTGTTTAGCACAGTAGGGTTTATGGAAATATCACACTTAAGCTTATTACTGGCTGAGTTTGTTTTTCTGGCCCTTTCATATCTCACATCTGATGAGCAGAATAAGAGAATGCATTTAATTGTCACAGAAAAACTGAATGTGCACGTCTCATTACAGAATTACAGCTTCCTTCAAATTGATTTAGTTTGTGTTAAAATTATGTTTTATTTCTGGCTGAACCATTAAAATTAAGCCATTTGTGTGTTCAGCAAACATGATTTTTTAATTTCTTAGTTTTTTCTGAGATTGGGATAAAAAACCTTATTAGGTATGTAATGGTGGGTACTGGTGTTCTCCACTGGAAATAAGTGCAACTAACACCGTTGTGGTTAAAAATATTGTGCTACTATAAAATCTAATTTGATTTACAAGTAAATATTCTGTACAGGTATCAAGGCAGTTAAGTCTGATGAGTAAGAGAAGCTGAACTCAAAGCAGTTAGGTTTTAACCAACATGTACAAGACAGAAAACTTGTAGATTTCTAAGCTGTTGAGGTTTTTGTTTTGGTTTGCTTTGGTGGGTTGTTTGTTTTTTTAATTGAACTTTTACAAACAGATAGAGGGCAAGTAGTTTGACTTGCCCGTTGCCCTCCTCACTAATAGCAAGCATCCAAGGGGGGTGGGAGCTTGAAAAGCCAGGAGGTGGTAAGTCATAGCACCGGGCTGGATCGTCCTGTCTCAGGGTGTTGGGACAGTGGAATAACAGGCAGTCAGGGCTGGAATTAGGGGAGGGAGTCTGCTGGAGGCTGGTGACTGTGCTGAAACTGCCTGTGTGCTGCTGGGGGGGTGCCTGGGTACGGGGGGAGGTAACACCAGCGGGTGTTTGTAGCGTGTTCTGTAGGGAGGTGAGGTTGGTTCTGTGTTCCCGTTGTTTAGCCTGTGTTCCTACTGCACTGAACTTGTTTCATGTGTTATTGTAACCAATTTCCAGGTGTAAGACTCCACTGGTGCTGTCAGTTACTGGGTTGCATGGCAAGGCTCGCTTTTAATCTAAGAAATCTGTATTTTTTTGGAAATCCGTGATGTTTTACTGTAGGACACCAGGAGAGAGAATGCAAGTGCTCAGGCGGGGTGTCTCGCCAGGGTTCCTGGAAGCCAGAGCCCCCTTTGGTGCCCAGGACACAAACCTGGGTGCTGTGGGGCTGCAGCTGCTGCTGACCACTGGCTGTTCTCTGCAGCTCTGCCGGGCTCTGGATGCTCTCAGAGCCTGGTGTCTCACAGGGCAGAGCAGGGAAAATGGGACTCGTAAACCTCCCAAATTAATGTTACGGTTAATTGGATGCATACTGCAGTGTGTGCTCGGTATCTTCCTCCTTTGTTCCAGAAGCTGCCATTTAAGGTCATGTGAGCTGGTAGGTTTTGAATATCCTCTCTTCTTGTGCTGAAAATGTTCCATGTGCCTTAGCAGGCAAGAATAGCAGGATGTTTTAGCAATAACCACTCACCGTCCCTTTCTCTTCTCCTCCCATGTGAGCTACTGTCATGTTCTCAGTGGCAACAATCCTACTTTTCTTAAAAAAAACCCTCTAAGTGACTGTACTTTAGAGAATAGAGAATAAAGCTCTGTTTTAATGGGTAAAGATCTGTTTTTAAAAAAATAGTGAGTAGTAGGCATAAAGGCATTTTTCGGTCAGACCGAAAAAGCTTGACTGACAATATTTTTCCCTCTCAAAATGGAATTTGGCGAGGATGTTCTTTGAACACACTGGTTTTTACCAATGATCTTTCTCCATTTGTGCCGTGCAGGAGCTGTAATAAAACACTCACACTGGTAATTCTGGGGGTATCCAGTGATTGCAGCAAATCCAGGCTTGTTTCATAAAAAGCTGGTTTGAAAGGTGCCGCTCTGGTGGTTGTCGTGGTGTCAGTTCTGCTTTGTGCTCCTTTGTCTTCGCAAGGGACTCCTTGCCCTGTGGTGCTGTAAATCAAGTGTAAATCAAGTCTGCCTTTCCCCGGTGCTGAGGTGATGTGAATTTCTGCCGGCAGCTTCCTCCGGGCTCAGTGATATCTGCAGTGGGGCCCAGAGCCTCGTCCCACCACGGCATCGTGTGCTCTGAGGAGCAAGTGTAGGAGCATGACCTGGTGTCTTGTGTTTAAAAAAAGAACAAAAAACAAACCCAAAAAACCCCAAACCCATGAGTTCTCAGGAATTTTGGAAGTTCTCTCCTCCTATGACCCTGTGCTTATCTTGATGAGCTCATGAGGGTCTGCAGGACCTTGGAACAAACCAGAGGAGTTCTCCTTGGGACCACCTTCTGGGAAGTGGCCGGGGGGGCGGTTGCTCAGCACCGGGGAGGTGATACATGCAGAGTCAGCACTAACTTCCCAAGTATTTCATGCTGAATTCTATGATGCTGATGGGTTTTTGCATAGCTTTACAGGTCCCTTTGCAGTAAGCACACGAGAATGATTGAATGGCAGGCGTTTGTGGTGGAGAGGTTCCAGATGGCAGCCGTCCAGCGTGTCGGGGCTGGTGGCTCTGGGTGTGATGTTGCAGCTCTTGGAATGTGCCTTTCTCACTCCAGAGCCATTGCTGGCCATGGCAGGGGTGTGATACAGCCTTGCCCTTAGCTGATGCCTAGAAATGGGGCTTCCGAGGGTGCAACTGTTTGGTAAACCATCCCTGGGAGCAGCTGGGTATGTTCTTTGTTGCCCAGACTCCTTGATAGCTCCCCAGTTGGCAAAGCTGCAGCTTTACAGCAGTGATGTTAGAGCATCTTCCAGTCTTGCTGCCTGTTCCTGGTCACAATGTCATCTCTGGCATGGTGCTGGCTGTTTGCTGACAGCTCTGCCTATTTGGGAAAGGCGGTTGACAGCAGAGGGAAGTCCTGGGGTTGTGGCACACAGCCCTCTGTGCAAACAGACCGCTGATCCCTTCCCGGGGCTGTTCCTGCGTGTGCCCAGCGAAGTGCTGGGGCTGCCCGGGCTGGGAAGTGGCACAGAGGAGCACGGACACCTGCTCGGGGTGATCCACGGGTGGTTCAGAGGGTGTTGTCACTTAATAAAGCAATGACTCACGGGGAAACGGATGTTTACAATTTACCGGTTATTTCATCGCAAAGCAGCACCCGTGTGCTGTCCTGCCCCAGAGCTGGGCTCCAGCATTCCCAACTCTTCTCCTCACAGTGCCGTGCATTGTATGGCACGACCCTCCACCATTCAGCCAGCGCTGCCAGGCTGCCCTGCACCAACGTAGCTCCCGCAGGCACGGGATTTTTGATGTGTTTTTCCTGGGCACAGCTTGTTGGGTTACAGAGAATTTCTTTTATCCATCCCAGCTGCTTTGGGAAGGATCTGAGAAGCCAGTGGGGGACAGGAACAGCACAAATAAGTCTGGGCTCAAGGAGGACACAGCCCAGAAAGAACTGGACCCGCGCCATGGTTTGTGGAGTGTGGTTTATCGCATGTGTAGGTGGAACAGATCCCATGAATCATAAAAAAGCTTCATCTCTTTCTATCCTTCAGATGAGGGACATTTGCTGTCAGCTGAGCTGTTTTGGTTATACATTCTGTCACTTTTCTCTGAAACTCAAAATTGCCAAAATGAAAGATTGTGTGATAAAACTGATGCTGTCTTCAGCTCCAGCTCCCGGTAACAGCCAGGCAGCCCTCCCCCAGCCCCTCTCCAGTCAGATGTGTTACAGGGTGAGCAGGAGCCAGCGGGAAGGCTTTATGGATTCAGAATTCTGATGGCTGAAGGTTTGAAAACAGAACCTGCTACTTTCCAAGATCTCCTTTGGTAGCAGACTTCGTGGGTTCTGAGAGAGAACTGCGTTAAGAGTGAAAGACAGGAAAAATGTGGTCATTATTGCCAGTGGCTTTGTAAAATAAAGATACTTTTTCATTAACACTCAACAAATCACTTTTTTGCCTGTTCCCTGGTGTCTGTTGATGGAGAGCTGACGGGTTGGGCACCTGGTCAAGTAGAAAGTCCTGGTGGTGACTTTTGTTTTGTGCTTCTGTGCAAGTCCCCGCTGCAGGGGTTACTCGGGCTTGTGAGATAAAGCAGGGCAAGTCCAGCCCGGGCTTTTGTTTGCCTGAGTATTGTTCTGTGGGCACCCTGTGACAGGCTGCCTTAAACCTCCTTGGTGGGCAGAGGACACTTGGGACCCCTTCACAAATGCCTGCCTCTAACCTGCTCCTCAAGAGTCCCTGTTGGGTGCTCTGTATCTTTGTTTTATATCCTGTTTCAGAGCGATGTGGACAGCGATCTCACGTTCCCAAAAGATTGCATCATCTGCCACTCTGGCTTTTTTTGGGAAAAGCCTTGGGAAGTGGCTGGGTGTGCCCGCAGAAGCCCTCTTGGCTGGTGGCCCTGGCCAGGACCGGGTTTGGTGCCAGCGCTGCCCTTGTCTCTGTCGCTGCTGGGGCCGAGCTGGGCTGCTGCTGCCTGGCACAGAGCAGCTCCCCAGGAGCCCTCCGGGATGCGAGCGGAGCAGTTGGATGTGTGCCCCCGTGTACACGCTGTTCCGCAGAAAAAGCACGATTTCAGCAGTTCTCCCATGGCCGTGCTTCCTAAAGTTAGAAAAGCCTGTCTCAACCCATATGGGATACATTGAGTCACAGTCCAGAGGCTGAGAGCCTTTTACAAACAACAATGTGACGTGAAACATCTCTTAAAAAAATGAATAATTGGAAAAAAGGGAAGGTAGAGGTGGGTGGAGGAAGTCTTAAAATAAGGGCATATGTCTTTTTTGTTTGTTTTGACAGAGGATGTAGGTTCTGACTCAGGCACGGAGCTCCAGTGGCGTGTGGGGACAGAGCCAGCCCGTGCTGCCCCCGTGGCAGAGGTTTGCTGGTGTCCTTGGCCTTCCCAGGGCGATGCAGACCTTGGGAGCCACGAGTCACAGCCTCTGTCAGTGCCCTTTCTAGGGACCCTCTGTATCGGTCATGAAACCACAACAGGAATAATGACAGCATCAGTGTTGCCTGGTGACGGTTGTGGATTTTCTTCCCCTTTCTCAGTATCCTCTCCATGTGCATCTTTCTCTTCATTTCTGCTCTTTACATATGTCTTTATATAAGAACAAGACAAAGCATCTTTCCTTAGTGACTTTGTGTACATGCAGTTCTTATTTATTGTAACGGCTGGTTTTTTCCTTACTAAAAATACCAAATTAGAAGCTGTTGTGGAAGCCCATTGGTGTCGGATTCCCTTAAAAATAAAATGTATTATGACTATGAGGTAGCATCACATAAAAAATTTACTTGAAATACACATTAGGTAAAAATTGTTTTAGCTGATGATGCTGGGTGTTTATTTTCATACACTTAGGCTTTGACATTGGAGATGCCCCGTCTTCTCCTGCAGTATCACAATGCAGCGTGGTTATTTTAGTCCTGACGGAATCTACTTTTTTGATAGAAATATGTTCCGGAAATAAATGTAAGTCTTTGTTAGCAAAGCCTAAAGGTAGTGTTTAGGTTGGTGATATCGCAGAGGTAACTAAATATACATTTCCTGTATTTACAGGAACTTTTTGTGCGTCATTCTGATAATCCTTTACATATATTGTCTCTACAATGAAAACAAATGCACTCAGTGTTCCCCCTCTCACCCCTTGCACCTCCTGATCCTCTGTATTTATACAACTTCTCCTCCTTTCAGATCAAGCTGCAGAACAACGTGTCGTATCAAATGGCAGACATACACCGCTTAAAGGGTAAGGAATTCGGGGCCAAAAGGTGCTCTGGCAGACTGTGAAGTTGTGTGGTTTTAAACCGCCCAAGCGCTGCAGAATGTGTTTGAACTGAGAGCTGAAGCGATGCTGGAGCACGGCCTGATGTGGAGTCTCATTGTCTTTGTTCATGGCTTAGGCTGGGTAAGAGCAGGGCTGGCTCTGGGGGCCTCTGCTCTGCTCTCTGCAGAAGGAACCCCTGCTCTGGCACTGCCACTTCCAAGGCATTAGAAACATTTTCATGGCCAAATACACAATTTGGTACAGTTTGGGTGAGCGATGTTGTGATGCTCCTGCTGGGTTAGAAAAGGTCCAGCAAACATCTTTTTAAGGCTGGTATGTGCAGACATGGTTACCGTCCTGCTGTGTGGGTTTCAGAGTCACCTGGGACAGCTAATGCCGAAATGGGAACATGCAGGCAGCACACTCGGCATTTCTGCCTCTATCTGGGTGTTGCAACTTAAATTAATAGAAACCTAACAATTACTTGTAGCCCCAGGAACAGGGAGAAAAACTTCCGGAGCAATTACTTGTGAAGACAGGACTATGTATTGGTTTTATGGATAGTGTGATGATACCTTCTTTTGTACATTTATTGCAGAAATAGAATATTTGAACACCGAGCCTAAAGTAATAGTAGTAGTTTTGTGTTACTCGGGATAACAGAGTCATTCAGGGATTTAAGGAGGTTTCCAACAGGTGAAACAGCATCGTGTAAGTCTTCTGAACGAAAATGTAAAGAAAAAGTTAGGGGTTTGGCACAGTATCAGAAGAATTGTTCTAAAATTCATAGTGACAACTGGCATACGTGAGTGAATTGGCACCTTTTCAAGTTAGTTTAAGCATCTTTAAAGTATCTAGAAGAAAAAAACATCAAACTTGAGCAAATTTTTAACTTATATAGAAATATTGCAAGTTGTATCTGCCATGGGGTGTTTTATCTTATATTTCTATATTCGTGTTGCTTTTTGGTGTAGAACAACTAGCAGAGCTACGGCAGGAATTCATTCGCCAGGAGGATCAGCTCCATGAGTACAAGAAGAACAACACGTACCTCGCACGCAGACTGGAGTATGACAGGTATGTCTGCAACAGCCCTGCTCCTGCTGACCCTCACACTGAGGGCACACACTGGTGACGTGGCTCTGACTTAGCTGTCGTTGGATTTTAAAATTCCGTTTTTTTGTGGTGTTCTCCTCTCCCCAAACTGAGATGCCATCTAAGAAAAATCTGGCTTACTGGAATTGTTCAGCATTGGACCATTTTAAGCCAATGCACTTTTTCTAGTGTGAAGATCTTGGTTAACAAATACTTGGAAGAGTTTAATCAGCACAGTTCTGTAAGCCACCAGGCTTGTTTATTGCTGTCTTTGTATGTGTACTTTATTTTTCATTGTAAATGTTGAGATTTTAAATTGATCTCAGCCTCTGAAGTTTCTGATGGAGAAGCAGAGAGAAAACTGCTTCTGAAGCTGTGTGGAGTGAGGGGGTTAACACTTGAGAACACGTTTGAAGCTTTCACATACAAACCAATCCTCTTTTCTCCGCGTGCTCTGTCGAGTGTCTGCGGGTTGGTGGGAGATGGGAATTTTGTGGAATTGGGTTGATCTGGCTGTGGCTCGTTGGAGAAGGTGGGACACTGAGCTGTGTCACTGGGATCCTGTTGTTTGAGTTGGTGGCAGTACCCCGTAGTGGCAGTTGTGCCTCTCCTGTGGTGGCAGCTGTGGGGGACACGTTGCTTTCCCGTCAGCACTGATGTGTGCTGATGGCACGTGAAGCGCGAAGCTTGACTTCTCGGTGGCTTTCCAGGTTTTGGAGGAAATACGTTCAAGGCCATTCTGTTTATTCTACTGTTTTTCTGCTCTGTCCCTATTTTTTCCAGTTGTGCTTTCTTTCTGTGTTCAGTCCATTTGCACTCCAGACACATTCCAGGACAAGGCTTTTTGGACAGACTATTGTAGCTATAGCTCAGGTTTGGCTTTTTGTGCCACTTCATTGTTTTTCTTCCCCCTTATTTTATTTATGGCAGAGTAGATACAACAGATACAATTAATTGTAACTAACAATGTGTTTCTAATCAAGCCTGCAGTGTGGGCAGCAGATCAAGGAAATGAGACTGCAACATGAAGAAAACATGAAGAAATTAATGGACCAAATTATGCGGGAACAAAAGGTAACGCGCAGTGAAGCTTCTGTGTTGAATTAAAGAGCCTGGATTCCACTGTTTGTTCAGCTCTGAAATTCAGCTACATGGAGGCCCTGGACATTCCTCCCCTGACTTTCTGTTAAATACCCTCCCGAGCAGCCCTAAATGGGTGTTAGTGTCAGAACATCTGGCTGTTTGGCTCCGTGGGTGAATGAGCCTTGAAGAGCAGGCTGGATTCTCTGCTCTCCCGCAGCCTTCCTGCCTGACAGCACTGCCCAGGAGCTGGGTTTCTGCTCTGAAATGGCTATTACTTTATAGCTCTCTGGGGTGGGGTCTGGGCTCTTCCAGCCTTACAGAGGTTCATGCAAAAGGGAACCTGATCTCTGCTGAGGCCTCGAGGTGTTAATGTGATGCAAATAACAATGGCATTGGAATGGTATCAGGGGTGTAATTAAAAGGTACAAGCTGCCAGGAGAATATGGGCCTTTTTCCTGCAAGCAGATGAAATAACCTGTTCTTCTTAAAATTTCATTTCCTTACTTTGTCTGTTTACAAACGTTTCAAATAATAAGGCAGACTCGAAGCAGATTTCAGTCAGGTTTTTCTTAAAATCTAGAATTGTTTCAAGGTCTCTGACCTGATGCTTAAGGCCAGTGATGCTGTAATCTGTGTTACACTTAAGAGCTCCAAAAGGCAGTGTAAGTGTCCCCAGCCCTGCTGTGTGTTCCATCCTCTGTGCAGTGTCTGTCCCCCCATCTCCTGCCCTCAGCGTTCAGGTTTGTATAGAGAGGGATCCTGCTGCTCTTTGCTTTGCTGATCATCTAATTCATAAATGCGACTCTGCTCACCCAATGTAATCTTGAATTGGAGGGAGTCTGTTTTGTAATTTTCAGGGATGTGCTTAATATTGGTTCTTTATAATTTGTTCTAACAGGCCACGCAAAAAATTCAGTCCAGTAAAGACACTGAAGTAAGTCCCAACAATGATGACCAGGCAGTACCCAAGCCAGTTCCAGAGGCAGAAGATAAAAACGCAGTAAAGAATGAGCAGCCCTCAGACCATGCTGTAAATGGGAAAGGTATTGCCTTTTTTTTCGTCAGGTGTAAGTGTCCCCAGCCCTGCTGTGTGTTCCATCCTCTGTGCAGTGTCTGTCCCCCCATCTCCTGCCCTCAGCGTTCAGGTTTGTATAGAGAGGGATCCTGCTGCTCTTTGCTTTGCTGATCATCTAATTCATAAATGCGACTCTGCTCACCCAATGTAATCTTGAATTGGAGGGAGTCTGTTTTGTAATTTTCAGGGATGTGCTTAATATTGGTTCTTTATAATTTGTTCTAACAGGCCACGCAAAAAATTCAGTCCAGTAAAGACACTGAAGTAAGTCCCAACAATGATGACCAGGCAGTACCCAAGCCAGTTCCAGAGGCAGAAGATAAAAACGCAGTAAAGAATGAGCAGCCCTCAGACCATGCTGTAAATGGGAAAGGTATTGCCTTTTTTTTCGTCATAGCTGATGGGCCAGTTGTGTGGTGTCCTTTGCCATCATACGGAATCGTGCCTTTCTCTGAAGTAGAGCAGTGAGTTGTTTGGCTCAGATAAGTTATTAGCTGCGTGTGACTGTACCAAGGTAGAATTTACAGGTGTCCAGAAATGGGCATGTCCTTTCTCTGGGTCCTGTTAGAAAAGTAGCTTCTTGCACAGTTTTGGGTTCACTTTGTTGGTTTGTTTGGCATCTCCTTCCTTGTGTGGCCAGTTGGGAACTGGGGGTTGCCTCTCCATTCCTGTAAGGAGTCTGGGGGCTGTTGGAGAGCTGGGGGCTTCACAGAGGTGGTGCCTGGAGGTGAGGAGAAGCCTCCAGCTGGGGACAGCAGCAGAACCACGGGGACCTTTGGCTCCCAGGAGCTGTGCAGGAGGCTTTTGGCGAGTGACTCTGTCAGTCTTCCTCCCTGTAGCCTTCTCCGAAAGGCAAATGGGTTCCCTTTCTTGCTCAATCAGCACCTTCTTGTATGAGTCCAGTGTCTGTTCTGGCCAGCTCTGGCAACGAGCTCTGCTTATTTGACTACCAAGAGCTGCACAGCCATCTCCCATCCTCTCTGCAGGTTACACCGACCTTGGGAGCGCTGCTTCCGAGGGTCTTCAGTGGCTTTGACAGAACAATCTATGAGTTGTACTTACGCTATCAATATGGGATGTGTCCTGTAGATGACTTTTCTTCCAGCCTTAGTGCCTTCCACGAGAGAGAAATTCACTGTTCAAACTTCAAGGGTAATAAGGCAGAATATCCTGGTCTTGTTTTACAGAGAAAATCAAAGCAGGAGGAGATGCAGGCATGCCTGAGATAGAAGATAATGACCCTGCTAAGGCTGAAGATACTCCCACCGGTTAGGAGAAATGCTTTAATACTTCCACATTTGGGTTTTTGGTATATTGATTCTGTTTGAATCCCGTGTGTTTCATAGTGAATGCAAAGTTTTACAATCTGTCTATGGTAATAAAATTCAATTGGGGTGAAAATCTGATAATTTTTACTGTGCTTTGAATTTGAATTTTCAAAACTAAATGCTTCTTATAATATTTGTTAACCCAGAAATCTTGTATTTTATATTTTCTTCTATGGTTTAAAAACAAAACCAACAAGAAAAAGTTTATAGGGTTGATAGAGGAAGACCTGGTGTATAGTGTCTGTTTGTTTCATGTCCATGCTTTTTGTCCATTTCATTGTAGCTTTAAAGAAGCCGCTTATTTCAGCTCCTAGAAGTGAAGTTCACCAGCCTGTTATGAATCTCCCAACTGAACAGCCCCACGCCCCAAATCTGGCACCAGGTAAGTTCTTATGAGCATCTGACAAGTTAATGTTCTGTGGGAAGCTTACCCCTCAGTGTCTGCTGCCGTGCCAGGTTGGATGTGGCTACAGAAAGCAAACCCAGGATCAGTTTCTGCAGGACCTGAGACTGAGCGTGTTCTCGGTCTGGCCTCCTGAGGCACTGGGCTTGATGGTGGTGTGAGCTCTTTTTGTCCCCCCTCACCCAATAATTTCTGAGCCTTTTGACCAACTTCAGCCAAATTTGAGAGTTAGAAGTTTCAAAGGGAAGTGCTTTAAGATTTCTCCACTGGCAGAGGAGAGTAATTGAAATTAAACCCCTTTACTTAGGGGTACTAATTAGCCAGGGTCACTTGTTCAGTGCCCCCCCTGTGTCTGAAAACAGCTCAGAGGAGGGAGCCGGGGGCAGGTTTAGGACATGAGAAAACAAAATGTACTGAAGTACTGCAGTGAAAGGGTTTAGAAGAATTGCAGGTAGAAAGGACACAACTCCATAGAAAATACACTTAAATTTAAAGTTTGTGAATCGCGTCCCTTTGCTTTAGTGTGACAGAGAAGGGTGGGTTATATCTGCACGGCAAAGGTCGTATTCAGACACTGTCCTGCTAAAAACTATCAAATATAATGTACTCTGTGTATTTGTGACAGGACCAAACAGCTTGAAGTTTTTTGTTATGTCCATCTTTTCAAAAAAGGCAACAGAAATATTTCTTAATTTCTCCCCGTTTGCAGCGGGTCTGTAAGCAGATGAGAATCCCAAAATTAGTGAGTTCCAGGTCTGTATATGCACTTAGAGTTTATTACTTCCAAATGTCAAGTCTTCCAAATAGTTCGTTTCTTTTCGTTGTTCTGGGGTGGTACTTCATTTTGGCTTTTATTAACGAGAAGACATGAAAGTGAAATGCCCTGTTGAACTGGGAGTGTATCAGCAGAGGGTTGCTGTGAGTCTGAAGGGGAGCGGGGGTTTCTCTGCTCCCTGGTGATGGAGCCCCCTGATTCTGCTCAGTGTTTGTAGCGTAACTTCTGTCACCTGCTGCAGCCTTCTCACCACAGCTCTTCAAACTATGAATGATGCTGAACAGACTGGAAAAGCAGAATCAGCAGGAGGATAAAAAAAAATACATAACCGTGTTATTGTTCTAGGCTTTAGCAAGCACCTAAGTACGAGAATGTAACAATTTAGGGTTAATTCCATATTAAAATGTGATGAATTAACTTTTGTGACAGCCTTCTTTCGGAACCACGTAAAAACTGAACATGCTTCCTTACTCTCTAGGTTTGCACAGCGACAATGATGGAAACGCTGATATTGCAAAGCAGATCCCTCCAAATTCTCTCCAGCACTTAAATTTTGAGGAAAATGTGGAAAATCAGAAAGAAAACAAAATTGAAACGGACCATATAAAAATTCCAAAGAGCAGAGTTAGTGACTTGCAGAAGATGAAGCAAAGTAAGTTGGCCAGTGTCTCATACTCTGATATATTAAGGTTATCACTTCATTTTCTAGCTGTAATAAGTGCCCGTTGGGGAAATAGGAGCCGTTGCAGCGGGTGGCCTTCTGGAGAGGGAGCCTGAAAAGAAATGTCGTGTGTAACTGGGGAACAGATATGCCCTGATGTCTCATCTTTCGTATATATGTTCAGTCAGTTAAAAAAAAAAATCATTTGTTTATAGGAATTTAAAATGGTTATGGAAATTACTACACATTGAAATAGACTAAGTGAAGACTTTTGATACACACATGATACTGGGTGACACATTTGCACTGTATTACTTGTTTTAAATATGGTGTTTTGGACAATATTGCAAGAATTCAGCCCTTGTGCAGGGGTTCTTTGTGGCGGTACCCATGTATTGGCCAGAAGTTTGTTCTTCTGCCTGAGGAAGTTTTTCCCTTACCCTTCTCTTCCATGGAAGAGGAGGAAGAAGTCTCCCAGGAGGAGCAAACGATGGATTTGTGGTGTGGGGTGGCATTAACACTGGTGGGGCAGAGTGGGCAGGCAGGGAAGAGCTTCCAATCCACACTGGTCTGTCTGCGGAGCGGGGGTTTGAGGTGCCCCCACGTCGCGGCGGATGCCGTGACACCGGGAGAGTGTTATCCCCCCAGCATCTGCTGGTGTCTGCCCGTGGGGACGTTGTGTGGAAACCAGTTCATTAGGGTGTCAGCAGAGACACCCCTGAGCACAGCACACTCCTGGCTGTACCTTAGCCCAGTTGTTTGTAAAGAACTAATTCCCACTGTTTGGCATTGGGGTGGGGAAGGGGCAGTAAAAGCAGGAATGTGGCTTTGTTGTAGGCAAATGACCAGAGACCTGTCGGGAAGGACTTGCTGTTTGGGGGGTGCACAACTTTGAGGGAAGAATATACTGAGCAGAGGTATCACCTACAGCTTCAGGTGAAAGGCTTCTGTGAGCTTCACAGAGATGCACCCTGTGCTTGGCACCGCTGGGGGTTTTGGGTGTGAGCACCCTGTGAGGTGTGCTCTCAGCAGAGAAATGTTTGTAAACGTAAAAATAGTCTGCAATTGAGACCGAGAGTGACCCCCCAGAGTAAGTGACAGATGGGAAGGGAGCGGTTCGGTCCGAAGGGATGTGGTCGGCAGTGGATGTTGGGCACCAACAGGTGCTTGTGGTGAGGTTTGTTTCTGGGGTGTGTTGACAGGAGCAGCAGATGGGATGGTGGGATGGAGGGAGTGACTCTGCTTCACCTGGGGCTTGTGGGGCCGTCCTCTGGCTTCAGGTGTCAGAGAGAGATGATGGGGAGCTGGAAGGAATTCAGGGAGAGAAACCCTTATGGGGCATCCCGTGCTGTCACTAACCCTTTGTGCTCCGTGACAACACACTCCTCAAAGACTGTGTCGCTGCAATTCCTGCGTTGGGGACACTGCCTGTGGCTGGGGTTTGCTGAGGGACCCACCGTGTGCCAGCGCTCCGGGGCCTGGCTGTCTCTTAACCTTTCCTTCTGTCTCCTTACATTCACTCAGTACTTGCTTGTCACAGTATTTCTGGCAGACGTACAGGCTGGGGTTTCTCTGTAAGTTGAGTGCATTCAATTGTCTTTCCAGAGCTTGGTTTATATTTGACATGTGTGAATTGTACAGTTCTGTCTGCTTTTTATATAGAATGCAGTGTCCAAAAATACAACCAGTAATAGCAAGGATTACTCAACTAGAGACCAATAGAGAATGGATAATGTACTAAACTTCTGATTTCTAAACAGATCATAGTTTCTTCTTGCTTATTTTATGAAATTAACTGAAACTTCTGTTTCTGTCCGTTTGAGCTGCCCTAGATGTGATTCCTCTGCTTTCCCTCCCCCCAGAGCAGCACTCTGTTACTGGTTCTGTCCTCGTGTTTCCATACTGCCACATCATAGTTCTCGTTGTTTTAAGAAACAATTTCATTTTTACAGCTGTCCGTTGTAGCCCCAGCCTCCTTTTTAATCCCGCTGTTGAAATCCTGTTCTCTAGTTTCACCTCTCTCTAATTGCCTCCGCTGCCAGTAACGACCTCCTGCTGGGCAGACTGGTTTGCTCACTGCGTTCCCAGTCCCTAAGGATTGTATCGCACTTTAATCCTATATTTTTCATTTATACCTAATCCCTCCAGACCCGTATCCCCTGCAGACTCCATGTTGCATTCTTTAAGTGAGCTGCACTGGACTTAAGCAGATCTCCCTGCACCCCATTACACCCCAGTTCCCCACCTGACACCCCCCCGTTGATCCCCCACCCTGTGCCTGCCCAGCTCCCCGCTCCGTTCAGAGAAACTCCTCTTGGGTTCCTGTGCATTCCTGCAACTGTTCTTAATTCTTTGCTGGGAGACAAAAATACTGGGGTCAGAACATTTTGAAAACTGTTACATCTTAGTAGGAAACCTGAGTGAAAGGCCAAATTAATTAGGTAGTTAAAAATACCCGTTGAGAGATGCAGGGCAGGTCTCTGCTAGAGCTTTAGCCCTGACAGCGGTACACACTCTGCTGAGTCAGCAATACATTGCTCCGGTGTGCCTGGGGAAATGCCAGTCCTCAGAAGAAAGTCAGGATACAAAACCTTCCTCCGTGTGCTCTTCAGCACTTTGAGAAAGCTTTAATTGGTGTTTGTAGGTAACCAAAGATGGAGCTTTTTGTTCAGGTGCTTCCTCTGGCTCTTTTCCCCCAAAGAGTGAAGCTTGGAACAGTCTGATTTCACAGGCCCCGGGTGCTGAGTGTCCATCCCTCTGGCACGAGGTGTCCCCCGAGTCCTGGTGTCCCCCCCTGCCCCAGCCCTCTCCCTCCCACCCCCTTCCTCCTCCCACCAACCGCTCCAGAGCCCGACTCTCTGCGCCTGCGCCTGCTTTGGGGTGGAATCTTCCTGTTTCTGTCCTCTCTGCTTCTGACTGACTCCTTTGCCTACTTCACAGGCCGGTTCTTTGATGAGAATGAATCCCCTGTTGACCCGCAGCAGGGTTCTAAACTGGCAGATTATAATGGGGATGATGGGAACGTGGGTGAGTACGAGGCAGACAAACAGGCTGAGCTGGCTTACAATGAGGAAGAGGATGGTGATGGTGGAGAAGAAGACGTCCAAGGTGAGCTTGGGCCTTATCTCCATCCCATTGTAATAAAATCCACGCTGAGTTTACTTGTTGAATTTGTGTAAAGCCTCGCTATTTGTAGCCCATCCAAAATTTCTCAGAGAGAACCAATCAGCTGTAGGCAATCTGCACAATTGGGTTCCTCTCCAGCTGAAAGCGACGTCACAGCAGTTTTCAGGGAGAGGCTGTTGATACCCGATTTCAGTCGTGTATGTGGTTTCTGCTGGGAAAATCACTCCAAATTTCAGCAGTGGCTCTGTCTGAACCCCCCAGGCTGGTGTCTGGCTCGCGGGGATGTGGCCTTTGCCATGGCTGGAGCAGCTCTCGGGTACAGAACTGCTGGTTTTTGGGCGCTGCTCGTGTCCCATCCGGCAGAACTGCGGTGGGACGGGCCAGCCCTCGCTCAGCCGTTCCAAGTGTGATTTCCCTGCACCCTACACAGATTCAACAGGCGCTGGTTCCCTCACTAACACCCCTCACCCCCCTGACGCCGGGTGTGCGTGTCCCCCCCTGCATGTGCCTGCCTCCCCTGCTCCCTGCCGGGCTGTCTCCCAGCACCCTCCCTTCCATCAACCTCTGCCGTAGCGCTCTCTGAAGGGCTGGCATGTCTGCAGGGTGGAGATGTGTGTGAACACACAGAGCATTCTCAAGTAAAGAAAGTGCAAAACAAAAATGGCGGGGGAAAAAAAAACCCAAACCCAGCCGTGATGTAACTTCCACAGACCCCCAGATTTTCATCCTCGTAACGCAAGGGTTTCAGCTGGTAGTTTTTCAGACGTATCTAATTGGTATCTAAGCATAATTAATGGGGAAAGCTGATAAAAAGCAAGTGATTTCTGTGGGCACGCACCTAACTGTGCAGCGTCAGCATTTTTGGGGCTGGGCTGGTGGTTTGAAACTCATGAACAAGCGAAAGAAAAGTGTGGATCAGAACCCTGGGCAATTAATTAACTTACTGATAGAAATGAGAACGCTGTGCCTGCTCCTGAAGACGTGGTCTGTTTTGTTACACTTTTGCCCGAAACCAGCAGCGGGTTCCAGTCACTCTGGGTCGGTAACGCCTGCTCCCGGGTGCGTTATGAGGGGGCTGTGATTTGCTTGTAGAAGGCAGTTCCAGGGGAGGGTAGCAGGGGACACCGAGCTGCCTCTGCCCACGCTGTGTGGGGACACAGGAGGAGATCTGCTCCTGGGGGCTCTGAGCCTGCAATGGACAGGGAAGTGTGGGGTGTCCCCAAACCCAGGCACTTTGTGGGTCACGGTTTTCATGTTTCTCCACATTCAGTTCCCCACGGTAACGGGGTGATGCCCGGCTCCTCACCACCATGTTCCTTCACCAGATGGACTCGGGGTGCAGTTACTGAAGTTTTAACAGAGGCCAGGTCACTTCAGTGACTCTCTGCTAAATTCTGCCGTTTGCCTTGCCCAGCCTTCAGGCTCCTCTGTCCCCACAGACCCCTGGGAGGACAAGGGCTGCCACCGTACCCAGCTCTCCTGGTGCCTCCCAGCTGCGTTGTTATTGGCACGAACACGCTGCTGTGGTGGCCTTTGCAGGGACACTGATGGCTTTAGGCAGCAGGAGTTCATACCACATGTGCTGTGATATCAGTAACACACACAGCATCCCTCTGTGCCCCTTACAGAAGGGTGGGTACGATACAGCAGTAAGTGGTGGAAAAGTTGAAAGCTATGGAGATTGTGCCTATTTGAATAATGCTTGAAAAATATTGGGGAAATTTGAAAAAATAAAGAGCTGTAGCTGAAAGTGGCCTCATAAAGCTGCTCCCTGTTTAGGTGTAGAACCTGTCCCTTCACTGCTCTGGTGGCTTTAAATCTGGGCTTGGTGAAAGTCTTCTCTCTGACCAGCCCCTCCGTGTGCCCGTGGAGACATCATGGGTTTCATATCTGGTAGTAAAGATTTTTTTGGAAGCCTTTCAGTGAAGCACAGTCTCAGCAGCGTGTGTTACTACCTCAGGTGGACTTTTCTGAGCCCTTGGTTGTGTTGTCCACTAACGGCTTGGTGAGGTGACTTGATCATCAGGTGGCAAGTGGGACTCCCAGAAAAAAGTGTCTGCTTTAGTCTTCACACGAGTTTGTTTGCAGGGTAGGAGAGGGCAGAATCGGCGGGGTTTGCAGGGGGGGTGGTTGTAATTGTTTAGGGAAGGGAAAAAAAAAAATTAATTTCGGTCTAAAAACGATTAGAAAAACATCACATGGTTCTGCATCAGGCTGGAACAAAGCGTGTGGCATGTGCAAACAAAGCAGTTTAATTAAACATGTTTTTCTGATGCCACTAGAAATGTGTGGGCCCTCGATTGAAATGATGGGAGGGAGATGCAGGGATGGGGGAGACGGGCTGGCGAGTGTCAGTGCCCGGGCTGGCGAGTGTCAGTGCCCGGGCTGGTGGGTGTCAGTGCCCGGGCTGGCATTCCTGTGCTGGCATTCCTGCTCCTGGTGCAGCGCCGGGGGGTGCGAGGGGACGTTTGAGAGTCCTTGGCTTCTGCCGCAGCAGCTCCCTTTCTGGGGAGGGTGGAGGGTGATGAAAGGCAGCGCTGCCCACGTCCTGCATTAGTAGTTTCTCACCCAACAAAAGCCGGTGTCGCAGGTGACCCCTGGCTGGTGCTGGGAGGGGGGTCCTGGCGGTGACACCCCCCCAGGGTCAGCAGTAATTGTTGGGAAAGTGTCGTGGAGCTTCAGGCATTTCAGCATCCGGTGAGAGACTGGGTAAACTGGACCTGTGCTTTCCATTCTGGTGAAGAAGGACCTTTCCTGAAAATAAGGGAACGTGGCTCTGAAATGCAGGAGAAGCTCTGTCACTGAAAAAAGGGAAGTTTTAGGGCTTTTTCACTCATTGAGAGAAGGCGGCTGGGGGGGCCCACACAGGAGAGGTCTGAATTATGGCCGGTAGAATGCAGAATATTACAGTATATTTTAAAATGTCACTTGAAAAAATACCAAATGTGCATTTTCTTGATGGATTTTTTTTGCGTGTGCTACAGGAAGTGGTTACACTGAGGATGCACGAGTTTGGGTGGGGTATTTTTTTAATACTATGATTTTTCCTGAGGCTCAGAAACCAAACCCCAGGGGGTAGAAGGCGAGCAGTGGGACAGCAGAGCAGTGGGGACAGACAGTCGTTCTGGATCTGACAGAGGGGATGAAACATCTCTGCTCTCCCAGCCAAGGCCCAAGGTGTAAATCCTCTGAGGATGGACCTGGCACTGCTGGGATGGACCTGGCACTGCTGGGATGGACCTGGCCCCTTTGGGAGCAGCATCGCCCCTGCCCCAGCGCGGCTCTTCTGCGGCTCAGGAGCCTGGTTCTCGGCCACTGAGTGTTCATCCCTTGGGAGCCCCGGTTAGAGGGGCTTGTTTCAGTCCTTTCAGAGTGACGTTGGATCTCCAGCAGCCCTGAGAGACCATCGAGTTCCATTGATAAGAAGGTGGAAAAGGTCAAGAGCTGCCTTTTGACGTTTTTAAAAGTCTCTCTCAGATTTTACCCCCAAGTCTGAGACAGGAGAGTGCAGTCTGTCCAAATGCCGACGGCAAAGTCAAGCCCATCCCTAGTGAAAACCCCCTCCCTGGGAAGCAGGGGGTGCCCAGTTTGGGGGGAAGGTCCCGTCGGTCCCATCTGAGAGGTGGGTGGAATTGCATTAATGTAGGGGGGGCTCACACCGACTTGTCTGTGCTCCACCCGTCAGGTACCCCACGTTCTGTAAAATCTTACCACGTCCAGGCTCTAGAAGGGGTTAAGAAATGGCAACGTCACTCGCCAGAGTAGTTGGATTGTAGAGGGAGAGTTGGAAAGCTTGAAGGGAACACGCAGGTGAGGGCAGGAGGAGTCACCAGTTCTGCAGGCTCTGAAGGCAGCAAACCCCGGAGATGCAGCCGCAGTGAAGCCAAGGATGTAAAATAGTGTGAAGTCCCAGTTCCTCAGGAGGGAGGTCCCCAAGTGCTGGCGGCTGGAGCTGTAATTCCAGGCTCATCCACATTCTCCCTGTTTCCCGGCGACTTCACTCCCATCCCAGACGAGGCCGATTGGGGCGGGGGGACGGGACGTTGGTGGAAGCAGCGGGGGCTGGGAGGGCACGTGTGAGTGGGGGTTTTCCAGCAGCGTCCCCTCGGCGTGACGTGGGTGTCTCCATTGCAGACGATGAGGAGCGAGATCTGCAGAACGACCTGGTTGACTACGGCAAGGCCCGCTTCAGCGACGGGGTGCTGTGAGGGGGGACCCGCCGAGACGGGGACCCGGAGAGGTCTCGGCTGAGGAACTTGACGTCCTGTGAAACTGAACCATTTTTACTTCTTACTTTAAAGGAAGCTGGGGATTAGAAGCGAGGGGCGCGTTCCACGTCAGCGCGGGAGCAGGAGGAAGGGGTTCTGTACATATGTACATAGTTGTACCATTGCAAATTGTATTAAAACTCCATTTCTGGTGTTACATTGAGCCAACTACTTAGACTGTACCTTATCTGTAATAATCTTTACATTTAAAAGCGGTACTATAAATAGGGGCTGAATTGTTTCTGCAATTTAGAAACCTTTGTAAACTGGAGAACTTGTACAGTTTGTATCTCATGTAACAAAGACACCGTGGAAGCCGTGTACAGCCCAAGGACTCCTTTTCTACAGCAACACCCTGTGAGCAGGGACCCTCCCGCGCCCCTCGGAGCGCTCTGCCTTTGCCTTTTACGGGTGAGAATGAAAACAGGACGTTTGAAACGTTGCTCCTTCCCCGGTGTCAGCGAGGAAAGGCCGAGAGCGTCTGCGGGAGCGAGGACCCTTCTCATTGTCCCGTGCAGTGACCCGGGCTGGGAGCTGGAACGCCAGCGTAGTAGAGTCTGCATCATTTGATAGACCCAAAGCAGTTTGTAACCAATAGCTTATTCCAAAAGGAGATACCAATAATCCAGCAGAGCTTGTAGGACCCCGTTGTGTGTGTTGGGGAGGGGGTGTCAGTGCGGAGCCTCGGTGGGATCCAGCCCCTGGGGACACATTGGATGCGGCGGGTGCCGTCTCTGGAGCATCCCCCGGTCCCAGCCCCCCCCTTGAGTTACAGTTTAATGCTTTGATACGATCTCTGAGCATCCACCATCTTCCACCTTTTGATTTTATACACCGGGAGGTTTGTAAGTTAGATACTTTTTGTATTCTGCGTTTAAGCACTTTCTGAATTTTATGGGAATGATTCTGTCGATCTGGTGGAAATTAAGGTTATTAACCCGACCTGCTTCTCCAAAAGGGCTACTCCGAGGAGAAATGAGGGGCCTCTGACGTGGGTGATTGTGCCTCATCTCCCAGGTTCCGGTTTGAAGGAAGAGTGAAGTTTTGCTCGATGCCGATTCTGGGAACCTCTTCAGTGATCTTGAGGGTCACACGATGGGGGTTTGGCTACGGGGATCTTCTGCCAATCAGTCTCCAATGGAAAAGAAGTAAAAATTTCAGATGCTGGCAATGAATCTCAAGGGGTTTTTTTTGTTTAAGGCTTGAGCTCTTCATTCCATCCTCTGGGAGGCAGCTTTGGGAACAGCCCTGGGCGCGGTGCGATGCCCTCCCAGTGGGAGATAAAACACTGAACCTGCTGGGAATGAGATCCCCCCCCATCCCCGGGTGCAGTGACCCCCTCCCAGGACACTCCCACTGGCCGCCTCCAGCCAATGCTGTATTTAAGCACCATGATTTTTTTTCTTTGTCTTAAAATGTAATTTCACCCTGAATTAGGTGTTAACTTGATTCTTCTAATGAAAGCAACGTTTATGGGTTCTAATAAATTAAGTTGTTTAAAGTATGTGAAGTTTCTGGTTGTTTTTTCTTCTTCTGGTTTTTTAGGGTTGGATTAGGGGGTGTCTCGGCCGCGGAGGTGTCCTGCGCTCGGCAGTACCTGCACTCTCTGATCCCAGCCCCAGCTGAGGACCTGGCTCCCTGCCCCACAGCTGCCCCTCTCCCCACCCCCCGTGCCCTGGCTGCCCCCACGCCAAGGGCTGCCCCAGCGCCGGGACCTGTGCCCTCCGTGGGAACGAGCACGGTGACACCTCCCAGCTGCTGGTGGGGCAGGTGGGGACACCGGGGTGGTGCTGTCACAGTCCCCTGACCCTGGCACGGGGTAAGAGCTGCTTTGGCCAGTTCCCTCTGGGGGGCACGTGCTGGACCCTCTGCATCCCAGCCCCCGGGGCCCGAGGGACGTTGGGCCACACGAATGGACAACGTGGAGTTTGTGACGCACGCGCTGCCCCGGGATAAACCCCGCGGCTGGGCCCTGGGACACGAGTCCCTCAGCTCCTGCTGCTGCAGAACCACTGCCCCAGGTGAGGGGCTCCCGCTGTAGGGCCGGGGCTCAGCCCCAGCTCCGCTCCCCACGGACCCCAGGACCCAGCCCTGCCCCAGCCTGGACTTTCCTTCCTTTCCCAGTAACGGGATGGGGAGACGCATCATCACGTTTTATTTCAGCTTCTTGTCTTCCAGAATATTGACCCATTTCATGTTGTTCCTGTGACTGCACAAGCCGTGCCCTGGGAACAACGGACCAAGAAACCCCTCCCGTGTCCAGAGCAGAAGGTCTGGGAGCGCTCGGGGAGCTGCTGGGGTTTCCATGGGGAGGGAGATGTCAGTGACGTGGAGGATTCCCCGGGCGCTTCTCTTCCTTCTGCTCTTCCCTCTGACCCAGTGACTTCTGTATGTGACACAGAATGGCCTTATCTGGCGTTTCTAGCCAAAATCACTGGTAAGGGATGCTGGGACAGAGGTGAATTTTATAATTACAATCTTGCTACAGCTATTATATGCACAATCAATCTCTTATTACCCATAACTTGTCTTGTCGTTTCCTTGAACGCCACAGGCTTTAGAACAGTCCCATGTTGAGATTCGTTAGGCCTAATGAGAGTAAAATTAAAACAATATTCATCCTTGCTACCCTGCTACCACCACTCCTTAATGGTGACACCAGTTACCTCTCTCCTGCCGGGAGCTGCTCTGGAAGGGCCCCGGGAAGCTTCTGAACCCTCTGCTTTGCCATCAGGGGTGCTTTGAGCAGGGCTGGGGTTCTGAGCTGGCAACAAGTGACCTGGCACACAGGCACCCTGGGGACTGACCAAGTGCTCTGCATCTCCTCAAGGAGACACCCCCACCCCTGCACCCCCTCACCCACAGGCTAAAACTGGTCAGGCAAGATGAGAAAAAATGAGTATTTTTCATCCTGTTTGAAGAAGCCAGGAAAACGGCGAGATGCCAGCTCCCACGGACGCCTGCTCTCAACAGGTTCACTCGCTTCTTGTGCTTTCTGGTCTATTCCTTGAGAAGCTGAGACAGTTTTATGGCTTATTCATCATCAGCCCTGGCTGGGGGAAATGCAGAGTCACGAAGGAGAGACACGAGTCCTGGAAGAAAACTCCCTCTGGGTTTGGTGGCCCCTTGGCAGGAGCAGCGGCGCCGACGGACCCGAGGGAGCTCTGACAACGGGGAAGTGCCCCCACTCCCAGAAGTGCTGGAGACTCCGCAACCTCAGCACGAACCCCGGGCTTGTTTGGCCTCTGGATTTTGGGAAAATACTTGGCTGACTATTTGGCCGTATAGAAACACAGTTTGATCCTGGTGGGTATCCTTTTAAGGAATCTAATTTAGGTCACTAAGCACTTTACCCTCCATCATTTAGTGACCCAATGTTTAAAGAATTTTATTTCTAAGGGGAATTGTTCTGTCAAACAAATTCCACTTTAGTGAAGAAGAAGCAGCAGCAAAAAACACCCTGTGTTCTTTTGGGGAAGTGCCGGTGTTTGCAGAGGGATGTTCCTGCTGCTCTGGAGGTGCCTTTGGTACCGCCCTTCCCTGAGCCCCTCCCCTCTCACACGGCTTCGGCCACAAAACTCATCTCTGACTGAAAATGCAAGACAACAGAGCGCATTTTCCAGGAATTCCTGGAGCTCCTTGTCCTCAAGGTGGGGTGAGGTTTGTTCCCTGTACAACACCCTGACCCCGCGGGGCTGCTGCGCCGGGGTCGCTGCTCTGCCTGGTGGGCTATTCCCGAACCAAACATCCCCAAAGGCAAGTAAAGCAGCCCCCAAAATGGGGCTTTGCTTTATTTTTACTCGCCGCTGAAGATTCCAAACTCACAAATTACCCGTTCAGTGTCTCATAAGCCACTCTGTTTGAGGTGCAGTTTGCCAACGAGCTGAAACCTGCCGTTCTCACCCAATAGGTATCTCACCTCTGGAGGAGAGCAGAGGCCCAAAGGGATGAGCCTGCGCTTGCCCTGGGGTGTCCAGAGGAGCGTGTGCTGAGCAGAGGGCAATAAAGGCATGTTTTTCTAGTGAAGTTCTATCAAACACCACCTCACTTCTTAAAAGCATTAATTTAAAATATCAATCACCCATCTGCCTGTGTGCCTGTCCCCAGTACATCCCCAGGCAGGGTCTGTTCAGCGCCACCGTCGGTGTTTAGGAGTGAAAAGGAGAATGACTAACCTATCCTGATTTTGTTTTTTCAAATGCAATTCTGAAATCCCTGTGCCGTTTCTGCTGAGCCGGTACCCGTTGCCATGGCAATGGGAGCACACAGAAGGTTGCCATATTTCAGAGCCAGCTCCTCCAACGTCTGCTTCCCCAAAGCCACCAGCCGGGCTTGGGAATGGAACTGGCTCTGCCCTTCGGTGGGACTGGGTTACAAGAAAAATCAAACAAAGAGTCTTTAGGCGCCAGCCCGGGCCGGGTCTCTCTGAAGAGCAGATCCCGACGGCGACAGCGGCGCCCGCCTCGAGGAATTCTGCTCTGAAGGGAATAATCTACAAACCAACGCGTGGAAGGGGTCCTCTCTGAACAAAAGCAGGTGATGGGACCAGTAACCCTTTTCTGAGCTTTTCACGCTGTTCCTATAGACACTTTCAGGAGCTTCACTGCCCCTCACAGTCCCACACTGCCCATCTGCACCGCAGGAAACTGAGCGCGGTGAAGACGAGCTCCTGCTCCTCCCCAGAGCTGGGAACAGCCAGTCCTGGGAGCAGAATTCAGCCCAGATTTGGTCCCCAGCAGTTGCCCTCGCCAGCCGGGCACACCACAACCCGCTCTACCTGAATACTAACACAATTCCTGAAACTGGACCAAAAAAGGCAAAAACCCCCAAAGCATCCGCTAATAAAGGGGCAGAGCATACTTTTAGTTTTCCCATGCAGTCAAAATAAAGTATTTCAGTTGCCCCCTTTTCCCTACAATGATTTGTGATTAGTTCATGCTTTTCCCTACACTTACTTTTTTACATCCCTAAAGAGCCGCAGCTCTGCCCTCCCATCCCCCTGCAAACACCCCCCAAACCCAGTTAAACACCTTCACTGAAAAACGGGCTTCCTGCTGCCGTGAGATTAAAGGGGAAAAGAAAAAGCATTATTGAAAAGCAACATGAGAAATCTATTTGCTCTCTCATGTCTTTCCCCAGTCCATATCTGAGCACCCTGCGTTAACTGTGGTGGGCAACAGCTCCTTTCTTTCTTAGGACATCATGTATTCTGAAAAGTGAAAAATACTTATTTTTTTACAAGGTTGAAGAAAACAGTACATTTGGAGTAAAAAGGAGCTTTGCTGATAAACCTTGGTTTCATGGAAAGGACCAGGAGACTCCAAATGGAGATTCACCTCCCCCCAGTTCTCCACGGAGTCCCTGGGCGAGGGTCCCATTCAGCCACGGAGGGGAAGCGCTGGCAGCGAGGGGGGATGGATCTGCCGAGGGGCTGAACCCATTGGATCTGGCTTCAGTAAGATCATTCTGTTGGGCCAAGTGATGATTTCCTCAGAAAGGGGACCCAGCAAACCGATTTCCATGGAAGAAACACATCCATCCTTCACCAAGAGAGGTCCCAGGGAGCAGCGTGAGCACCCAGGGCATCTCCAGGCTGCTCAACTTGGCCTGATGTCAACCAAGAACCTCCAGGGTGAGAGGAGTGCTCAGAAACACCTGCGATAATTCCGCTACCTCTCCAAAAGTGACAGCCGTGAAAGCTGCCCGGGCTGAACAAAGCCCTGTCACAGGTGGTGCTGGCTGTGAAGGTACACGGAGAGCTGGCCCAAGAGCACTCATCGCCATGTCTTCGCTCTTCAGGGACAAGAGGCAAAGCCCAAATTTTGGCACCCAGCAGAGTAACGGGGTAATTAAAAATACAGCACGGAGCGTGGCAGCAGGGTTGTTGGAAAAATGGCTTTGAACGTATTGTGAATTATCTGCATCCAGTTAAACATGGTGATCTCCACCAATTTTTTAATTAAAGGGTAGCAACACTTTACAGCTTCAAAGCACAGCACAGATATAAACTAATTAACACAGAACAACTGTGTGAGGAAGTTCAGGAAAATACTGAATTCCTCAACCACCGAGAGCTGGTATCATATCAAAGACCAAGAAAATTCTTGCAACTGTCCCATTTCCTAAAGATTTCAAATGCAAAGTTACAAGGGAACAAAACACCTATACACTCTGCATAAATAACCAAACTTTAAACCCCCTAATTATAAAAGGCTACACTTTAAAAGCACTCACAAGTCCATTAAATGAATGCTGTGATCCAAAAATATTTTGCCCAAGGTTAAACCGAGAAAATACATATTCCTAAGTCATTTTTGATCAGCAAGCGATTGCAGTACTTTGTTTTTATGCCCAGCCCTGAAGAGAAATCCGAGTTGAAGAGGCATTAGCATACAAATGGGATGTGAACTTTCAAAGCTTATGCAACTGTTACTCCATTACAGACAGCTCCAATCAATTACGTTGTTAAAAATAAGAGAATAAATCTTTGTTTCAGTTTAAAAT